CAGACAACTCCAGTGCCGACCCCAGCCACACAAATGGCCACGACAACCCCCACACCGACGACCACGATGACAGATCCTTCCACCACAGTGCCACAGCTAACCACAACAACTGCAGCAGCCAGAACCACAGCAGCTCCAGTCAAGACTAGACCTGGACTGCACAGGGTCAGAGATATGGGTCAGTAGCATGGATGTTTGCATTGCTTTCCTCTGGACTGACAGCTTTCCTAAAATTTAAGGAGCAAGACATACAGCTGGATATACCATGATTTAGAGGATCATGAGTTCAGTAATTCAATGTAGAAATACTAGGAGTGGGAAAAAATATGTAAGTCGAGCAGACCAATTCATGTGAGAGTAAGCTCTCCATCCCCAAATGCTGTGAAGATTTTCAGGCATAGAAGTCAATAAATAATTCTTTGATTCTCATGTCTAGATTGAGAGTTCAACAGATAGGTGAAGACTCATTTTAGAATTCATTTTGTGATAACTTTCAATAGATTAAAGTTGTAATCTATTTTTTGTAACAACTTTTGAATTTTAAAGATTAAAGCACTGTGAAGGAATTCTCATACTTTTTTTTCACACCTGATTTTTCCTTAATCTTCCCTTCTTAATTTATTATTATTCATTAGCACTGTAGGGTTTTGCTTCAATAGTTGAAAATTAAAATCTCTTATTTTTAGGTTCTAGCAGCGTCCACCCAGCGTACGCATCTGTGGTAGCTGCAGCAGCAAGTAAGTATGGTGAAGTAAGCATGCCACAAGGCATGCAGCAGTGTATTTCAGGGCAGCAATGATTCCATAACCTTTCAAGCATCAGCAAACTCAATGACTGAATCCAAGTCTGAATTTAAACTGAAAAACAGACGCTTGTCCTGAATGTCAAAGATGCTGATCACCCATGGTTCTGAGGAAGCCTTTCTAGTGAGTATCTGCCCATTTCAGCTGTGACAAAAGCTGGGTTTTGCAAAACTTGAGACAAAGATTTTGCTGTTTGAATCATGTTTTCCTATTGCTTCCTTCTGTCATACTCTTTCAAAGGGAGACTTGATTGAGTTGCAAAATACACGATGCAGAGATCGGCATAGCTATCTAAGCTTAGGGCAGAAAGCTCTGAAATGCTGACAAACGTTAAAGCACTCTTCTCTCAAAAACCTCAGGCAGTGGTTCTGAGCCTGGCATACATGTGATGTTATTCCTGGCTTGCCACTTGTTATTGACAGCAGAATGGTGGCTGCTCAGAGCTCTGCACCTCGGCCCAGGAGCTGCTCCCAGTCCAGCCCACAGCCTGCAATGCAAGTATATAGAGGTGTTTTTCCATACACTGTGCAATTGCTCAGCTGTGCAGTCAAGAAAAGGAGAATATTTTCAACTGTTTGAAAGGTTCTGAGCATGGGGATATGATTGCTTTTGAGTGAAAAGGGAGCTGGGCTATCATTAGCTTTCATGCTCCATAGCTATTTCTGAGTTCTTTCAACTCAGCTTTCCTCTCACATACATTACTGCAGTCATCCCCACTGCCAAGTAGTTCACAGCCAAGAACATGGCAGGGCAAGTATCTTTTGGGTAATTCAGATCTTGAGGGGAAGAATAATTGAGTAAAATTCAGTTGTGAGTGGAGAATAAAGGCAGGGGCTGAAGGGGTTAATCTTACCAAGACAGATGTGCAGGTAGGTATGTCCATGGCAGTATTTACAGAAGTGACTGCCCAATTCAAAGGGGTTTAAATTCTGTGGAAATATGCATCATTCAGTACCTAATGTGCCTGTTAACTTGGTTCTGCTTGTTGCTTTCTTTTCTATTTCCTATTCCCACAGGCTGAGCACAGAGGAGGCCTTCACTGTCTTTACTAGCAATTAGCCGTAAACCTCAGCCTGTTCCAGGTTCCCCAGTCAGGAAGAGATGCATGTTGAGAGCAAAGTTTTGGCAACACTGAAATCAGTGGGAAGATTGTATTTGTCTTCAATAAGACAAATAATTTAGTCAAAAACCTGAGGAAAAAAAAAAAAAACCCAAACAAAACAAAACCAAACCAAAAACCAACCAACAACCCCAAAACAAATTTTCCAATGTATTCAGTGGTTACTTAATTGCAATTTGGATCCATCTTTCTTCATAATTTTCTTTACTGAAGTTCTAAGCATAAATTAATTCCCAAAATATTAAAGTGATCAGAGCTAAGAATAGGTTTTTGTGAGCTGCAGTGGTAGAGACCCACTTCTGATTTCACAGACTTAATTTCTAGGACTATGTTCAGCATGTCAGTACCTGATATCTAGCTTCCTGAATTCTCCTGAACTCTTCTTGATTCTGAAAGAGAAGAACTGTATAAATTAAAAAAAAAATACATAAAGCACAAATACAGTTTTGATGTCATGGCCATAAAGCAGTTTTCTCTGTCTGAGGAGCCTTTAGGATCCACTGCTATTATTCCAGACATATTAGAACCAGAGTTTCTGGCTGTTATTATTATAACATTATTATAAACTTAATTATTATAATAAACTTAATTAATTAAGTATTATTATAAACTTAACCAGAGTTTGGCTGACTGAACAGAATCAAATGTTCTCCTGTCTGTCCTGGCTCTCAGAGACTCACAAATCTACCTCTCACTGTGAATTGGTAGTTTGCCTGCAAAAGACACCTCAAAAGTAAATAGCTATGAAACAGAGCACAGTCAGAATGAACACAACATTTCCATTTCCAGCCACTGGTCCTGGCAAGAGCTCACAGGAGCAAAAGAAAAGCAGGACTTGCAGATTAGACCATGAAAGCAGGGGCAAAACTGCTGCCCTAGTTCTTGCTGTTCCTTTCCCTTTATCTTCTGTTTGTTAAGGACAGAATAACAGATAAAATAATGGAGACTGCTCCATTGCCAGACCCCTCCTTCAAAGACTTGATGTGCCAAAACTGCTGAATGAGAAAACACTAATGTGACTGGTGTGCCATATGGCAGCTGGTTCCTTCCTGCCCTACTAGGGCTTCTGCCTCTGTCCAACAGCATCAACCCAGCACACTCCCAAGAGCCACAAGCTCGCTTGTTCTCTCCCATCCCAGCTCTTCAATCCTGTCTTGCACAGCTGCTTGGACCCTAGATGAGGGTTGGGACTAAATCCAGTGCTTCTGTGAATGCTGCAATCATAAGTGATTGCCTGAGTATCCTCAGGTGAGGAGGTGCTTTCCTGCCCTCTGTGTCCAGATGGGTTCAATGGTTGCACTTCTTTTCAGACCAGGACTCTAAGCTGGGCACTGCCTACCACGGTACACTACACCGACTTCATCCCCAGCTGTGACTTAATAGAAGAGTATTGAAAAGACATCAGACAATAGTAGAGTAAGTGACAGAAAGGGCATTGAACACTCTTCTCCATCAGGAAGACCAGTAGAGCTCATGTCCTCAGAAGTGCTGGACAAACATTCCATCCTGGCACCAGGGAGAACAGCTGGTGTTTATTTTCAGATGCTGCCTTTCTCCCCAAGTTATCCCTGACTACTTAAGCCGATCAAGGGTGCTGACCAAGTTGCAGATGGCCAGGCATGTTTTGTGCACAGAGCAGCTCCTTTTTTTTCTCCAATCAGTTATTGTTATTTACAGGGTTCACTCTAAACTGCATATAAACTGCTGCTCCCACCATTTCCTGTCTCCATGCCTCCCTGCTCACCACAGCACTTGCTCCCAACCAAGGTTTCTCTTCCCTATTACTTTGATTTTTGACCCAGTTCTTGGAATTTGCTCAGTGACTGTACATCCCCAGTTTGTTACAGACTTGTCCTAGGCCCAGCTTGGCCCCCAGTTTTCACAGCTCTCTGTTCTAATGAACATACATTCCCATACCACAGCCTCACTGGCAACTCAGATTTGAAGGAAGAACAAGCCTTGCAACCTGGAAGTGAAATTCTGACTCTTCCTCCTCTACCACTACCATGTTTGCCCCAGCCAACAAAAGCATGGCAGAAAGCAGCTTCCTGCAGGGATGGGGTAATGTGCCTTTGGGAGATACAGCAAGAGGGAGCAGCCCCACAGCCCAGCCCAGTCAAAAGGTGCATAGACAGAAGTCCACATTGCTAACATCAAATTAAAATTTAAATGTGGCATAAAATACTTGGAGACAGAGGTAATCTCTCTTTTACCCTCTTGTACTCTGTTTCTGCTGACCTTGTAAAGGGTGTTAGATACACATTGGGGCTCAGTCATGGCAAACATGAAACAAGGGCAGCTCTGAGACTCAGAGTTAATTTTCTACCACCACTTTGGCACATACCGATCTCCTGTGTGTAAAGCCTGCCCTGCACAATCCCATACAGCACTGACTTCTGCACACACAGATTTTCCCTCCGAAATCTGAACACTCAGCCTGGTATAGCTGTGGTCCATCTGGAGCCTTACAAGCTTAGAGTTTAAAAGCCTTGCCAGTTTTGGCAGATGAGCCCGTAACTTTCATAAACAGGATCTCTCTGGCATCTGGAGTTTACAAGGTCTCTCAGGACAGCTCCTAGAAATCCCATCAAAGGGCTTCTAGTGGCCCTGAAGGTTCAAGTTTGGGTCAAACACAAGCTACTTACTGTCACCTAATTTTGCAATGTCAAGTTCCCAAGGAGCAGCAATTCCTGTTTTCTGAGACAGGCATTCAAAATGGTCTCATTGATGACATCTTATTGATAAAATAGCCTCCTGGGCCCCTGTCCAGTGTTCACAGAGTCAGCTAGAACATTCCCACTGATTTCACCAGGCTTTCAAATTAATCTTTCTGGGAAAACTAATGAATAAAGGCTTGTTAAAGGATAAGTTTGTTAACAGGCTTCTTAAGAATAATTAAGGAAATGAAAGGCATGATTAAAGACACAGTTTTCATCTGCAAATGCTTTGAGCCTTTAGTATTTTTGAACAATGGGAATTTAATAACCCAATCACCTTTAAAAGAAACCTTTTTGTGTAGAAGACATGTCAGACACATGAATTCTCCCACATTATTTTTCCATTGTCTCATTACTTACAGTCTGCCTGCTTGCTCATATCCACTTAATCTCTGCAGAAAGGGTAGTGTCTGGTCTGGGGTGTTGTTTTGGGCTTGGGGTTAAAACCTTCCTCACACAATCAGGACAATTGGATGGTACTGAAATAGATATAAACACAGATCACCAGTGTGAGTGAGAGAAAGAAAATTACAAAGGAAAGCAAATCACAGAAGTAACTGCAGATCTTTTAAATGCAGACCAGAGACCTGTAGAAGTAATATCCACAACTGAAGGGAACATTAACAAGGCTAATCTGTATGACAGACAGAGAAGGACAATCCCTTTTTAAGCAGGCTCAAAATATATAGTTAACATCTAAGAAAAATCTATTAATGACAAGTCTATATATGAACCATTAATTCTGCCAGCTATAAACTGAGACTCAGTGAAAAAGCTAGGTAGCAGTAGTACTGAATCAAACATGGTGTAATAAATCACACTTTTCCACTTTGATGTCTACTTAGGACAGGTTCAGGCTGCACAAGGAAGAGGACAGAACACAGGTATGTTTTAATTTAACAACAACCAGTAGATTTGTACTGCTCAAATACTAGAAAACCTTGTGTTTAAGTTCCATGTGCTAATCCATATGATATTTTCAAAGCATTCAGGGGCACTTCCACCTTTGCAAGTGTCAGGAATATTTTACGACACAATGCAAGTAAAGGCACTACAATCCTCCTCTATTTCCTCCCCACAGATATTTTTACCACTTACATCTACCAAGTCAGGCAGTAACACACTGATTTTCCCTCCTAACCATGTTCATAACAGGCTGCAGTGAGAGAAGATATCACAGTAGTCATTGCATGACAATGGTGTAACTTTTAAGGAAGAAAGTAAACAACATTGATTAAACATGGAATTGCTCTCAAAGCAGTAGTCTAAAATAATTTATAGAAGTATTTTATAACATTTTATGTTATTTAACCTCTTGCCTCTTTGTCTGATCATGCAGGTGCTCAGCGCCAAGAGCCTTTTGCTGCCTTCCAGAGGGCTGCTAGCGCTCCAGTCCACCTGGGTGAGCAAGACTACTAGCAGCAGATTTTCCACTCTCTTTAATAGTTTTAGCAACCATGAATTAGCCCTTGTACTGCACATTGTTTTCCTGCATCCTGGAGGACGACCAGGACAAGACTCTTGCACTGAACGCCAGCTAGGAGCTCCCTGAAAGGGAAAGGCAAAGGAAAGCTCGGTCACTGGTGACCTGTTGTTTCAGGCCGTGGGAATCAACATCTACAAAATGTTTTCAATTTTTCTTATTTGTTAGTCAAAACAGGAAACAAACAACCAGCTCTGTGCAGCCCATCAGGTCTCTGGTAGAGCTACGTTTTTGTCCCTGTGGTTCCCAGAAGCCTCTAGGCTGACAGTGAAAGCAGAGGTTGCTTCTCATACTGGGGGTAGAAACCTCACCTGGACCGTTCTCTTCCTGGCAGTGCAATTGGCCCTTCCCTAGCAGGCATTTTGCAAGGCCCACAACAGCTTCCCAGGGGCTCCAGAGCCCTCAGCACACATACGAAACACTAACTCTCCCTTGATGGACAGCAGCATTTCCCAGAGACAGATTTTGTCGGGGAGCACCCAGGGTGGGGTGCGGGATGGGAGCCGGGTTGCAGCAAGACACGCAGGGCTGTACTGAGGCTGCCCACAAAGCCCCAACAAGAGCAGCAGAGCAGGTCCTGTGGTGGTTCCCAGGATAACCTGAAAGCCCAGGCTGCCAGGAAAGCCCCCAGCAACGAGGCAGGTCTGACCAGCTGAGGCAGAGCACCAGAGAAGTGAGGCAAGGTCTGAGTGAAGGCAGCAAGGCACAGGTGCAAGGAGCAAAGGCGAGGGTGTGCCCCTCTGTGCTGTCCCACGATGTTTCCCACAGCCCCTTCTCACCCACAGCCCTGGCCAAGGCAAGTGCTGTGCTGTGCTAGTGCTGACCTCCGGCACAGGCAGCCAAACCCACTGGGGAGGGAGAGATTCCAGCAGATGAAGGTGTCCCAGGGCCCTGAGGGCTCTGTGAGAACTGGGAATCACAGGAGGAGTATTGCAGCAGGGAAGAGCCAAATGGTCATTCACACAGAGGTTAGAGGATGTGATTATACAGGATATGTTATTATCTTCCCAGACAATTCCTGCCAAGTAATCTCACCCAGCAATCTCCTGGTCAAAACTACAATTTGTAGTTGACCTAGTTGCAGCATATTTAAAATGCATTTGTCCTAAGATGTACTCCATTCCCTCATTTTTCTTCTACTCCTCATTTCAATCTATTTCTCTTCTTTCTGCTTTCCATCTGTGTTTGTCTTTTTTATACATTTTGGCCATTCCAAAGGATGTGCTGGCTAATTCTCAGGCTAGCCAAATCTTTGCCAGAAAAACAGGAGAATATTGCTGGGTCTTACTTAAATCAAAGTCAGTGTTTGATCCCACTTAATTGCTTAAGACACCTTAAGGTCACCCTAAAGTGAATAAAAGGCACAACTTCCCCATCATAAATCATTCTGTTTTCTTCCTCACAGAACAAGAAGGAAAATAAATACAAGTACATATTTTCTGTATTCCTAGTAAGTCCTGATCCTTTTTTCAGTCCAGAATGTGGCAGCTCAGATGTGCTGCTTTCAAGCAGCCAGTTTTTCTAACAATCAAAAGAAGATTGCTGAACAGCTCCTTGCTTTCTTGGAAAGGCAGTTTGTTCTTCTTGATCCCACCAAGTGTGTGCAAACAACAGCGGTCAGTTCTGAGCATTTGGCTGTGATGTTGAGGAACTTCCTCTCATCAGCTCAGTTTACCATAAAGGTGTGCTGGGAAAGCACCTTCCCCAACACACCAGTTACTTGTGCAATGCACAATGCACTCTCTTGAAGTCACATACTCACTTAGTCATGAGTTTTCAAGAATGTTTTTCAAGGCAATTATACTGAAGAGTTTTGGTGGTGGTGTCTTTCTCCTTTTCAAAGAGACCAGTCTTGGAGCATTTTAAAAATCAACCCCCATTTTTATGGGCATCTTAAAGTGAGGAAAAACAAATTGTCCTAGTTATAAAAATAGTAATTTCACTTTCCTCCTGGTTTTCCTCTTGTTTCTTTTCCCATTACTCAGGTCTGCTCTTCCTTTACCTGATTCCTCCTCCTAAGCAAAATCACAAAAAAAACCTGTGTGCATCATGATTGACTTAGTCTTCTGCTTTCCTCAGTTTTTAGGACCTTTGACCCTTCATAGGGGGTTTAAGTAGCATAAGGAGGGAAATCACCCTAGCATGAAACATGACAGGGTTCCTCCTACCCAAAGGGAGACCCCACACTTCATTCAGCCATTAGTCCCATCCAACAAGTCTCCCTCCCAAAGAGAAGCTGATAGCTCCTCACGGGAAAGGCAACCTAAGGACAAGGTCAGTGCTCTCTCTAGGCTGTAGGACACTGGCAAGCCCATGCATAACTTTGTTGAAGCCTACATTGTAGTTCACCCACTGGCTCTAGTCAAGCATACACCAGCTCTGTGCAGTTTATCAGGTCTTCAGTAGACTTAAATCTTTGTTTCCTGGGATTCCCAGTAACTGTTTCTGTCCTAGTCAGCTGCAAGGGCATTCATCTGACTGCAACCCAGAGTAAAACACCACTTTTTGGAAACATCTTTCAGCAGGTTCCAAAAACAAAGACATTTTGGGGTTTATTTATAAAGGCAGCAATTTTGATGAAGCTATCCATGCCTAACAGGTGGCAAGCAATTTTTGGACAACATCTTTGTGTTTGGGTGGGCTGAGGGGATAGAGAAATCTGTAGGTCAGAGGTACTCGCAGATTTCCAGTGAAAAACAACCTAAACCAAAAAAAGGTCTGTGCATCAATATCAATGCAATCTAGAGGAACAAGACCAAAGCAGATCTAGAGAGGTGTATTTAAAACCTTGAAAAAGGTTAGTGCTCTAAGGGCAGTGATACAAGGCTCCTAATTATGTCTTGAAATGTGCACATAAAAGTTCACAGGTTTACTGATTTCCTCAGCTCCTAAGTTGTTAATGTAAGTTATTGTCTAAACCGACCTTTCTAAATTGAGTCAGAACTTTCTGATCTCTAGTATTTGCACTATTATCAGTAACAGTTTGTGGTGTTGTTTTTTTCTCTTCCATGTGTGAAAGCAATGGAAATAGACTCATGGAAACCTGGACTGAGCCTTTTTGACACAGGTAAATATTTAAAGCATCTAGTAACTAGTCTGGGAATAAATGGTTTCCATCGCATATGGGAAAAGCTTAATCTATTTAGCAGGCCCATGACACTGGTGATAACAATCTCACTTTAAGAAGTAATTTCAGCATTTACAATTATAAATAAGGTATGTTGTTTACATCTTAGCACATTATTCTGTGCTTTCGTCACTCTTGAGTTCCTGCTTTTCTCCACTCTTGAGCAGAGGAGATGAGCTCTGGAAAGAGTTGGCAGCTACACTACAGAAAAGGGGTTCTAGCTACTGAAATCCATTTGTAAATGAGAAGGTATTTTAGGAATGCCACAGCTGAGATCACAGTTTAGAGCTGCAATCAGTGAAGAACATGACAGATTATCCTAATGTCACTGTACTTAGGGAAGACATTCAGATAAGAAAAGGAGATTTTATGTCACACGTAAAGAATAATGAACATCATTGAAATTTTCTGGCATTTTAGCCTTAAAAACTGACAATATGGAGATAAGAATATTTTTTTATGAGCACTGGTGAAGGGAAAAAGCCCCCTACATTTGTAACAGGCTCTAGTAGCAACAAGACCAAGACTTGTGCAACCCTTAATCAGGAGCAGTTCCCAACTGCAGATTTAACAGCTCCCTTTCCCTGGGAACATGAAAAGCAGACTACACAAGACACAGACCGATTCATGATGTGGTACTCCCCCTCTTACAAGGGGCCTGACCATCCAATATAAGAGGTCTTTCTCACCACCGGTTTTGATGCTGGAGAGGGCTGTGCTGGTGGCCTTTGCAAAGGCCATTTCCTTGAATATTCTTCTTACTTCAAAACCATTAGTGTGCTTATTCAGGAAAAGCTACAGCACGAGGGCCAGAGTGCAGAGGGATGTTTTGAGGCAAAAAATGACAGATTGCATTAAATGCAATGAAA